TCATTAAGTATATTGAATAAAAATAATTCATTAAATATAAATTAATAAAAATAATTCATTAAATATATTTAATAAAAATCAGTCATTAAATATATTTATTATCTGGATGTAAAGCACTTAATTACGTGTGGAAAACTATAGGAGGGCAACTCCTGGGTGATTAAATCTAAATGTTTTTAGCACAATAAACAATTTGTGGTGGTTCTTCGTGCCCAGAACCCCACTATAAACATGTTTGGGCTCTGGAGCTCTGTGCTGCGCCCTTGTGTGCTCAGTGGAGTTCAGGGATTGAAATGATTCGGTTTTTAACTTCCTGCCCTTCCCTTTCTCGCTCCCAGCTGGGCTTTCTGTGACGGTGAAAGCTCTCCCTGCAGATTTGGGAATGGTTCCCACTCCTGAGCAGTTGGAACGCTGGGATGCTGAGCTGGGAATGGGCTGCTTTGGCTCCTCATTTACTCACTGGAGCAAGTGCAGAGTAGTCACAAGCTCCAGGTTCCTGAACAGGGTCTGCTTGCCCTGCAGAAGCACCTGAGCTGTTGGATATAAAGGATTTTATCCTCAAGGAGCATCAAATCCTTGGAATCGGGGGATTTTTAATGCCAAATCTCTCTCCTGCCCATCAGCACTCACTGTTTGCTCCCTCCCTGTAGAAACCCACCTGGAGAAAGCTGAGAAGCAGGAGGGCAGGCTGATCTGGGTGCTGCACAGGGGGTGTGCTGGGGTTTTTCTCACTGACAGGAATGTTTCCAGCAGGTTTAGCTCCCGCTGCCTTCGTTCCCAACCCCTACATCATCAGCGCGGCGCCTCCGGGGACCGATCCCTACGCGGCCGGGCTGGCGGCAGCTGCCACGTTAGGTGAGCAATTCCAGCTCTCCCTGCCATTCCCTGCTCCTGGGGGAGGGAATCATCAGCACAGCAGCGTTCCTGGGGGTAGAGCATTGATGGAATGCTGTGGCTGGGAGTGAAACCAGGATTTGTCATTGGAATGAGGTTGCCAAGGGAAGTTGTGTCCCTGGGCGGGGAGGAGGTCCCGGAGCGTTGGCAGCCCCGGCTCCGGGCATGGGAGGAGATTTGGGAATGGTTCCTGTGCAGAGGTTCCTGTGCAGAGGATCCTGTGCAGAGGTTCCTGTGCAGAGGTTCCTGTGCAGGGAGGTTCCTGTTCAGAGACGTTCCTGTGCAGAGGTTCCTGAGCAGATGTTCTTGAGCAGAGGATCCTGTGCAGAGGTTCCTGAGCAGAGGTTCCTGTGCAGAGGTTCCTGTGCAGAGGTTCCTGTGCAGAGGTTCCTGAGCAGAGGTTCCTGAGCAGAGGATCCTGAGCAGAGGATCCTGAGCAGAGGTTCCTGAGCAGAGAGGTTCCTGTGCAGAGGTTCCTGTGCAGAGAGGTTCCTGTTCAGAGAGGTTCCTGTGCAGAGGTTCCTGAGCAGAGATTCCTGTGCAGAGGTTCCTGAGCAGAGGTTCCTGAGCAGAGGTTCCTGTTCAGAGAGGTTCCTGAGCAGAGGTTCCTGTGCAGAGAGGTTCCTGTGCAGAGGTTCCTGTGCAGAGGTTCCTGAGCAGAGGTTCCTGAGCAGAGGTTCCTGAGCAGAGAGGTTCCTGCTCAGCCTTTCTGCACCTCAGGGCCTCCAGAGCTGGTTTCTGGGCACCAGCAGAGTGCAGAGGAGCAGCAGGTCAGCAGCTTCATTTCCTGGAGAGACCACACAGAGCTGGGCCACCTTTCCAGGAAATACCAAGTGGCCAAAATTGTGGCCAGAATTTTCCTTTTCTCTTTTTCTCTTTTTTTCTCTTTTTCTCTTTTTCTCTTTTTCTCTTTTTCTCTTTTTCTCTTTTTCTCTTTTTCTTTTTTTTTCTCTCTTTCTCTCTTTTTCCCCTTCCCCCCTTCCCCCTTTCCCCTTTCCCCTTTCCCCTTTCCCCCTTTCTCCTCTCCCCTTTTCCCTTTCCCCTTTTCCCTTTCCCCTTTCCCCTATTCCTTTTTCCTTTCCTTTTTTTTCTTTTTTCTCAGCCCTGCTGCAGTTCCCTGAGCTTTTGCAGCCTCTGACCAGAAGCAAATCTAGGCTGTGCTTAACTCAGATTTTAGACATTTGAGCTGGAAGTAGCATCCCAAAACTTGGCATCAGGGCCTCTACTTGAATAATTCTGTGTTTATGACTCTTAAAAGAAACAAAACAATGCCTAATGTGCTGGGTGTATTTCTAGTGTTACACCACTGAGAAACAGGAGTTATTTTAACTCTCTCATCGGGTTTTGGAGCCTAGAAATGACAAGATAAACTTGATGTCGATGTTTCTTTCAGAAAAGAAGCTTTTCTGTCTCATCCTGAGCAGTTTTGGGAACCCTTTCTTCCTGTCAGGACTGAGAGCAGCGCTGCAGGGACATGGGACAATTTCAGTTTATATAAAACCAAAAAGCCTCCTTGATGTGCCTGGGAGTGTTAAATTGGGCGGATCAGAGAAGCTTCTGGGATGGAAGAAATTAGTTTGGGGTTATTGGGAGTTTATTGCTCAGTTACTCTCAGAGCAGAGAGGAAACTTTGGGGTGTGTTTTATGGCAGAGAAAATCTGTCAATTAAAGTTCTGGCAGTTTTGTCATGATTGTGAGACTGGCAGCTCTGGGATAATTCCCTTCTCTTGCCAACAATAGCAGCATTTTAAAGAACAAATTTGAATGCAGAGGGAAGAACTTCCTAGAAAAAGAAACCTCATTTAGATTTTAAACTGTGGGGAAGATACTGCTGCCTTTGAACTGCCTTCCATCATTCGAGAAAGATGTCACTCAAAAAACCAAAAACTTGCCTTTTTTAATGCCAGGTGGGAAATTATTCCCTCTGGGGTGGAGCATTGTAGGTAGAAAATGTTCCTGTTCTTTGTGGAGAGCTGGATCAGTGCTGGGATAACCTGGATGCAGGAAAAGCAGAGGCTCCCACCCACAGCAGGTGCTGGGAGTTCCAGCCTGGGGTGGTGGGAGATGATTCCAGCAGGAAAAGTCCTGGTTTTGTGGGGAAGTGGGTGAATTCTGGGAAAACCAGTGGGTGAATGCTGGGAAAACCAGTTGGGATAACCAATGAGTGAATTCTGGGATAACCAGTGGGTGAATGCTGGGATAAGCAGTGGGTGAATGCTGGGATAACCAATGAGTGAATTCTGGGATAACCAGCTGGGATAACCAGTGGGTGAATACTGGGATAAGCAGTGGATGGGTGCTGGGATAAGCAGCTGGGATAACCAGTGGATGAATTCTGGGATAACCAGTGTATGAATTCTGGGATAACCAGCTGGGATAGCCAGCTGGGATAACCAGTGGATGAATTCTGGGATAAGCAGCTGGGATAACCAGTAGATGGATGCTGGGATAACCAGCTGGGATAACCAATGGGTGAATACTGGGATAAGCAGTGGATGAATTCTGGGATAACCAGCTGGGATAAGCCGTGGATGAATTCTGGGATAAGCAGTGGGAGGATGCTGGGATAACCAGTTGGGATAAGCAGTGGATGAGTGCTGGGATAAGCAGTGGATGAATTCTGGGATAATCAGTTGGGATAAGCAGTGGATGAATTCTGGGATAACCAGCTGGGATAAGCAGTGGATGAATTCTGGGATAACCAGTTGGGATAAGCAGTGGATGGATGCTGGGATAAGCAGTGGATGAATTCTGGGATAACCAGCTGGGATAAGCAGTGGATGAATTCTGGGATAAGCAGTGGGAGGATGCTGGGATAACCAGTTGGGATAAGCAGTGGGTGGATGCAGCACAGGGAATATTTGCTCTCAGAGGTGCTGGAAGGAGCAGCCAGCTGTGCTGGGTGCAGGAGCAGCTGCAGCTCTCCTGGAGGGAGGGAGGGAAGGAAGGAGCAGCTCTGGGTGCTGCTGGGCTCTGGCAGTGATGCCACTCTTGCCCTCACTGAGAACTCTGTTCTGTAATGAGCCTCTCGCTCCTGTGCTCGGAGCAGCTGAGCCAGACTCGCAGCCCTTTTAAGCCCAGCTGCCTGCGAACTTCAAAGCTTTTGCATCTCCTCTGCTTTTTACACCCAAGGCTTTGGCAGCAACCTCTGACTAGGAGAAAAACCCATCTAGGCTGTGCTCGGTTGATAATTAGAGCTGAGACTAAAATATTCCAGAGAGATGCTCGAATTTTGCCCAGATAAAGGGGTTGCAGCAGCTTGCAGCAGCCTGAGGGCAAATGCAGGTTAATGACTTGCATTAAAAGGGAGCAACTGCAGCTCTTTCCCTGCTGGGTGCAGGAGAACCCTGGGAGTTGGGGTCTGATGTGCACTCAGTGATTCTAAACAGGTTAAAATCACTCCCTGCTTACCTGTCTGTGCCTGCTGAGGCACCACAGGCACCACCTTCGTGGCACTGATTCATTTGCTGCAGGTTTTTTTCTATTTTAGCTCACGAATTTCCAGGTTGGAAGGGAAGAAATTAGCGGTTGCTGCTCCAGATCTGAGTAGGAAGCGGATCAGCATCTCTGATTCTGTAAATCCAGCAAGGATGGGCTTTGGGGTGGGATACAAATCCAGGTGTTCAGCATCTGCCTGGAATTAGCCAGCACCTCCCTGCTGTGCAGAGCTGGGCACCTAAATCCCAAATCTGGGGAAAGCACAGTAGTTAAAACCAGGATAAGGCAAGGAGAGAACTTTTACAGGTTTGAAATACGAGTTTAATATTTGGCACAAGAATGGAATGAATATCCTGAAGTGTGGATGTGGGAGCAGGAGCTCATCCAGGTCCTTGGCATTCTGCAGGAGTTCAGCTGAGCCTGTTAGTGAAAAAAAAAACAGGAAAAGGAAAAGAGACTTGCAGGATTTTCCTCCTTTGTCACAGCCAGGCTAACACTGAGCACTCAGCACTGTGTTTGCACATCCCTTTTTATGTCATCCCTCATTTTCCATGGAATCACAGACCTGGGCAGAACCCAAGTACTGAGTGTCTCTAAAAAGAAATCCCTGTTTTTACTCCAGACATGACCAAGATTCCCTAAAGATTTGTTCATTGCAGTGTCACACCTGACTCTGGCTCTGCCTGAGTTACTCCCACTGTGGGGAGGGAGGGAGCCCTTGGAAGGGGTGTGATGGATTTGGGAATCAAAGGGAACCACCTGACCTTTCCTAAAGATACCAAACATTCATAATAAAAAATATTCTTGGATTCCCATCCGTGTTATTTGGTGGGAAGGGCTCCTCCTTCCAGCACTGAGAGCTCCCTTAGTGTTATTCCAGCTGGGATTATTTAGGGAGAGAGGCTGCCATGCTGCCATCTCCAAATTGCTGTGCTGTCCTGAGACCTGATAAACACAAGGCATCTTCAAAAGTGAGGCTTTTTCTGCTGCTCTCCAAGGTTATTACTATTATTTTTAAGCCTCTTTAAGTTGGAGGAGGGAAGGTGAGGTTTGAGGAGGGAATGTGGGAACGGACAGGACCCTGCAGCCTCTTTTAGGGCAGATTTGCAAATGCAAAGCAGGGCTGGAAAAAGAACATTTTAAGACTTGAGAGGAGATGCACTCCAGCTCTGCAGAGGGTTTGGGGATTTATTGAGGAGCTGAGGATGGATGGATGGATGATGGATGATGGATGGATGATGGATGGATGGATGATGGATGGATGATGGATGGATGATGGATGGATGGATGATGGATGGATGATGGATGGATGATGGATGGATGGATGATGGATGGATGATGGAAGGATGAAGGATGGATGGATGGATGATAGATGGATGATGGATGGATGGAGGATGGATGGATGATAGATGGATGATGGATGGATGGAGGATGGATGGATGATAGATGGATGATGGATGGATGGAGGATGGATGGATGATAGATGGATGATGGATGGATGGAGGATGGATGGATGATAGATGGATGATGGATGGATGGAGGATGGATGGATGATAGATGGATGATGGATGATGGATGGATGATGGAAGGATGAAGGATGGATGATGGATGGAGGATGGATGGATGGATGGTGGCTGGATGATGGATGGAGGATGGATGGATGGATGGTGGCTGGATGATGGATGGAGGATGGATGGATGGATGGTGGCTGGATGATGGATGGAGGATGGATGGATGGATGGTGGCTGGATGATGGATGGAGGATGGATGGATGGATGGTGGCTGGATGATGGATGGAGGATGGATGGATGGATGGTGGCT